TACTTTTTGAGTATCTGTCAGGACTCGAACCGCGATTCTTTGGATCGGGACTTCAAACCCCTACCCCTGGGCTACACGGTCAACTGTTATCATATTGTGCGAATGGCTCAATCAATTGAGTATCAAGCTTGGATTGGCCTTGTTTGGTTATCACAAGCATTTCCATCACATTCTCTGGATGTGTTTTTTTATAAATGACAATATTGGCTACCAAACAAACCAGGTATCAGAGCAGTTCATATTAAAATAATAACCATACCCATACTCAAGATGAACCACCACATTTGAGTGTGTGTGTGTGTATGCTTTGATTACAATCTGACAAGATCAGATTTAGTTGTGCGCAACCCCCTCCCTCCCGCCGACCGCCGCTCCCCACGCTGGTTCTACTTCGAGGTCAGTATGATCTCTCCAAAACGTTGTGTGGGGGGTACGCACGCGAACGCTCGCATGAGAGAGCGTGTCTATCCTGCTGTGCGCTTTTAAAACAAACTGGGCAGATTCGTAAATTGCATCTATTGTGTTCCGCTTCACTAATATCTGTCTATTTTGCATATTAGGTTCATGTGATCGGTGTGCGAGTACTTCCACATACTAGAGAGACTGTCTATACGCCTATATATATATATATATAAATCTACCTATACTCATCTGTTCGAGAAAAGGCGGTCGTGAACAGGGTCCGTCATCCGGGACGGATCATCAGTCAGTGAGGAGCTTCCGCGGGCGCATGGTCGGGAGGTTCGGGTGTTCGAGGCGCAGTATGATGGACCGGCTGTCTGAAATGCGCTTGTTCTGCTCTGCAAAAACGGATTGGGTTACTTACGTTCGGTCCAGAGTCGCGACGTGACCGATTTGCATAAGGCATCTCACCCACTCACTTGATCCTCCTGGCATGTGATCACACACACACACACACACACACACACACAGAGAGAGAGAGAGAGAGAGAGAGTGAAAGATTGTAATCTCACACACGGATCAAATTTGATCCAATTATTCCATTTGAACTGCCAAATGGAAGAGATAAATTCAATGTGTGTTTGTGTGGTCACGGTTCACACAGATCGACAAGTTGTAAACACGTTTGACCTTGTGCACATAGTTTTTAGGACGGAAACAATTCTATCCAAACCCAGTGAAGTTAAAAAAATCCATGAAAATTAAAGTTGGTGACAAGGTCTTGTAGATGTAACATATAGCAAATACACTAAAGGTAGTCTGGAACATAGGCTTCCTGATACACTAAGCAGAGGAGTGTGGAAGTGCTAAGGAATTAATTGATGGAAAATTAGTGTTGAGATGAACGGACCATCTGTCGGTTTGCACCTTCACGTACGATCCTCCGTTCATTCAGTCAGCCATACACTCAGGAAGAAGTATTGTACTCGAGTACAGGTCCAATTTAGACAGTAAATTCAAACGTGCAAGGTATACTTGCTTTGGTAGGAGGCTTTGGACTGGAGTTGACAGACAGTATACCATGACTTTGGTGTGTGCTGTCAGGCCAAAAAGAAATGACTGACTGTCAATGGAAGACGAAATCTGAACAAATATGAATGGGTAATATTGGTTAGGTGCTGGGTGAGCAGAGTAGTACAATGGTATCACGCATGCCTTATATGCGGTGGGCTCCGGATTTGGAAGCCCGGACACTGGAGTCTGGTGATCCCAGTGTATAGTTGACCAGAAGAGCTTAGGATTGTGCTCGAAGATGCAATGTGAAGAATGGTCAGTTCAAATCAATAACATTTATCTCATACTACTACTACTACTACTACTGCTTACAAATAATTCTGAATGAGAATCGGAAAGTAGTATCACATCTGAACACCTTGAGGATGAATGTTAGTCACTTCGCTATTTTCTTCTTCCTCGTCGTTTTGGTCATCATTGCAAACTCGATTCACGTTCAGCGGCTTGAAATACCGTTCGCTTCCCCACAGAATCCATCTGTCTTTGCAGAGTTCAGTGTATGTTGCAGCAGTCCGATTAGTGCTAACACGTGGTAGAATTTGAGGCCGGGCGATTGGTGTTCGAATATCACGAACTAATTTCTGCAATACACAACCGTACAGTAGGACGATGAATACTGTTTTTTTTTTTGGGGGGGGGGAGGGTCATCTCCGACGTTGGTGTGCTGTTCCTGTTATGTTGTTTCGATCGTTTCAAAGGCTATCTTCATCAACATATGTACATCTGTGTTTGGGTTATCCTAAAGCCGTCGATGTAGTTAGCTAACGACTGGACGCTGGGTTTCAGCAGTTGTTTCGTTCATTCCGCGTTGCCTTGATGATCATGAGGAGGAGGAGGAGGAGGACGAGGAGAGTGGTCACACTTCCGTGCTCTAGATATGCGTGTTTCGTTACAGCGGCTTGTGTTTTGTTTCAAAGCTGTTCCTCTCTCTACATGATCATTTGCCACTTCATGATCTGATGAGATCTAGTGAGATTTCCCAATTAGGGACATCGAGTGTTGTAAACTGTGACATTCATGCGTCTACCCACTTTGTGCACGCTTCTATTTTCACTGCATGATGCACGGATGACATCTTTCTTTGCTGGCATTATGAATGAGAAATGAAAGATTGTTACCGAAAATAGCTGCACGAAAGCGCAAATGTGTGTATTTAACCGATCAGATTTGATTTCCACTTGTTTGAGGATATATAGACCGAAATTTCTAACTTCTTCCATAAAGGTCACATACAGAGGTCGCAGAAAGAACCCACCTTACTACTTTGAGGATAACAGTATTTACCCACCGAGCAAGGCCCGTAGTCAATTGTTTGAATGTACCTTGGAGCATAATGTGCCNCATTCGAAGGAGTATCCACTTTCATCTCAAACTGTTCGCACAGATCTTCTACTGGTTTGAGTTCGGGTGATCGAAGTGGTCGCGAAAGCACCTTTGTGTACCGCCCAGACATGCATTGAACCACTATCACCCTGCATTCCTTTTGTCTTCATATTACTTCTATTAGTAGTCAGAGATGTTTCCGAAAACACACCCTTGACGATTATGCCTGAACGATGAAGATATCGATACATCGGCTTAGATCATCAATCACCATTGTTCGTCTCTCCCAAAAGAACCTCCTCATTGCCAGCACTAAAAGTAGCATCCGGTGATGTTCAGTAAGTAGAACCGGAAGGCTGCAGAACTTTGATTTTAATCTGTACGAATGAAAGCAGGGTAGAGAGATCACGGATGCAAAACAGGACCGGAGAGATTGAACAGTTCCAACTAAACCTCTGAGGGTCCCAACAGCTTTACTGCGTGTGTTCTTCGGCTTCCCAGGGTATCGTTGACAATCACGTGCCCTTTGGAACAGATTAATCCATTTACTTTCTGGCCATTTTTAAATAGTGAAATACTTGGAAATCTCGGGACATAACATTCTGGATTGCCACATTCATATGAACTGGAAAAAAACAAAATAGATAAGTGTGTTGGTGTCGAACACGACACTGGTCTGATCCTAGTAACAAATTGGACTAAACCACCTGAAGTAAAACATAGTTTACAATCGGATTATTCTGAAATTTTAAAATATAGTTAACTAGAGTGACATATATCGATGTGTGTTTGTCGAACATGGGCATATCTTAGTGGAGAGATTGTCTCCGCTCGTATCGATCGGGATATCTTTCTCCGAGGTGAGCTCAGATCCCTTGAGACGGTAAGCTTGAGCTGGGTTTTAGCTACTCGAATACAATGAAGCGAGGGACCAGAACCAGAACTAATAGGTGGTAAATTCATGAAACAGACATTCACTTGAGTTAGTCTATGTTAAATGAGTACGATTGGCAAGATTGTTGCATCTTCGTGTGAGGATATTGAGAGATAGCGCGGTCTTCCAGCCTAATGAATATCCGGATGGGTTGAAAAAGTTCTTGAATCGTTAATAACACGTCATTTTGAATGTATTTCATACGTTCAAAGGTGTTCTATCAGGATCCGGTAGATTATCGACCTTAACAGTAGAAAAATTGCTACCTGGGCAGTCACAATTCTTCTGGTGAAATTTTTTAATGTATTGTCGTATTTTAATGACCCCACCCCTCTTGTTTTTTTCGCCAGTTCAAATCATCTGTGGTATCCATTTGGTGATATTCATTGATGTATCAGTAACTGTGTGGATCCTAGTGCCTTTTAACTAGTTGTTATGGCTCCGTAACGCCATTATTGTACAAAAGAACTGCTGTCTTTCACCCATAATGAGATAACCAGATCAGTGAGAGTGAGGTTAAGCGCAAGGATACTACTACACTGTCGATGCTGGGCCCTAATGCATACGAATGACCCCGGTACAGACAGAGATGATCGGGTCCTGTCTTCTACAGTTGTCAGATTTTGCTGCCACAGAAGTTATTTGGAATAGGAGCACTAATGATAAGACTATAATCTGGGGGAAAATAGGTCATTCCGCCTTGAACGAATAGATTACGTCCCGGAGGAGTGGGCAGGGGATTCGNGGCGGGGGGGGGGGGGGGGGGGGGGGGGGGGGGTAGAAGTGGGACTAAAGGACCTGCCTCGGGGTTGGAAATATTAGACGACCGAATTCAGTGCCACACATCGTGGTCCTTGAACATGATCCTTCCCCCTTCCCCCATGGTTCGTCACCTCCAAAATCGTACAATTAGACTGAAATTTTAGTTTCACAGTTTGTGCACGATCTGTTGAAGATACCTACCAAATCAGAATGAAGTCAATATTTTAGGAGAATGATAATTTTATAAAAGGCCCGGTTTTAATTACAGAACACAGAACTAATCCGAATAGGAGCTATGAAATCAGAATTTCTGCAGGAAATGGCTAGCTCCATTNATAATAATAATAATAATAATAATAATAATAATAATAATAATAATAATAATAATAATAATAATAATAATAATAATAATTGTGTGCGGATGGTCTTTGTAAAGCTTTTCCCATCACATGTCCTCGACATTGTTCACTGCGGATAATTGTCTTTTTGTTGCCTGTAGATCTGGATGGGATCCAAACAAACTCAAGCGAGTACAAAACAGTCGTTTAACTTCCAAGACGAATTTGACGGTTCGTTGGAACGACCATGGAAATCCAATTCACTGGAGGCATCATCGACCGGGTGCAGAGCTAAATGTTCTGCTCCGGTGACCGGGCCGGATCTGATCGATCAATCACCGGTAGTGAGTGGAAATTTGTCCGAATACCGGATAGGCGATTTGGTACGCTCGTACAATTCGAGCACAGTTGCTCACGATAGCGCAGGCGTACCGGCGATTCCGATTCCGATACCACATATCCGAACGCCAGATTCGGATTCGATGATCACCGATTACTCGGACAGAATGGCTGATCACAACTCGTGGGCACCTGATCTATTCCAATCGAGCTGGAATCCCCATAGACTGGTCTCACAAGCAAGCCGTACAGAAAGACCTGTTAAAATCAACATGTGCGGTGGTGTCGAGAATTCGCGACCACATTCCGACTTGCTCGACACGTGCAGTCTACTTACTGCCCGTAACTATTCGATTAGAGACTCGCCAACACATCCTGAGCGTTTGTCTCGGCTTAGACCCCAATCTTATGACAGCCAATCTAGTCAAGAAAATGATTTGGGTGATTTGGGCCTAAATCTGAACTGTGCACAGCAGTTGGGCAATCGACATACTTGTCATCAACTGGACACCGAATCACCGACAAAAAAGTGTCCCAATGTTACAATATCACCATGGGGATGGGCAAATATGTGTCGAGATACGAATACAGAGGTGGTGGGACAATCCTATCCACATGGTACAACGATTAATGAGCTAGAAACAAGGATGAATTTGACTCAGCTGCCACAAATGTATCCGGAAATGACAAACGAAAATACAGAAATCGGAGAACGATCGTATTCCTCACATGCTAATACACGGCTCTGGTTGAAAACGGAACCATACAACGTCCAAGAAACAACTAACTTGACGGCACAGCGGAACGCAACACATTCGCAACCAGTTTCCCATTTCTCGTCCGCAGATGGGAATTATCAGTGTGTGACCACGATCGGTCCAGATACCATCAACACACCCGACCAGACCAGGCAGATATCCCACGGGGACAGTGGTGAATCGAAACACTCTCCTTCTTCAGCTTATCTTCAGCAGTTGACATTTTCTCCCAGTGAAAAGTGGTATCATTCTCTTGGATTACTGTCGGCTTTCACACAAATTCTCGCACCTTCTCATTGTAATCATCCAGCCGAGGTAGACAAGGAATCCATTTCACGGGTACAGGAATATGAAACCATTTGTGACAGATCAGATGCTGAACCACCCAAGTCAACATGTACCCCAGTTCCTCGAGCACAAACTCATCATCCCTGCCTCTCAACCGGTCCTATATCGACCGAGAGTAATCTGTGGACGGTACCAGATCGTCTGGAGCATGCATACTGTCACCACGATTCTGTTCCATTCCCATCGACGGAATTCGATCCAGATCCATGCACAACACACCCATGTTTATTCGGCACATTATCGGAGTCCACGCTAGACGAGCTGAAACAGTTCGCTTGTAAATTCAAACAACGTCGAATGAAATTGGGGGTGACTCAGGCCGAAGTTGGTCGAGCCTTGGGTCGCATGCAACTGGGTCAATTTGGCTGTCTTTCCCAGTCGACTATTTGTCGATTCGAATCGCTAACCTTGTCTCATAACAATATGCTTGTATTGAAACCTATTTTGGAGAAGTGGTTGGAACAAATGGAGGCTCAGGCCCGAGCTAGCCCCAGTTCTTTGCCGGGTTCACCCACAGACGCGATCGAGCCGCGTGATGGATCTATGGATCCCGAGCGACGTCGACGTCGAACATCTATAACAGAACCGGAAAAACGAATGCTAGAAGCTTACTTTCAGGTGGAACCGAAACCAACCAGTGAAGAATTGGGGCGTATTGCAAATGGGATTCGATTGCGCAAGAGTGTGGTCCGCGTGTGGTTCTGCAATCAACGACAAAAACAGAAACGAATGCAAATGAAACACCATATGTCACGTGATACCCAAGTCTGTCATCCGACAACCCCTACCGCATCAAACATGCATTGTTATAATGACTAAGGCTTTCCTACAAGAATGTTTTGTTTTCCTCGTAAGCGTGTAAAACGATGCGTATATGAGTGATAAATCTTTGCTTATATTTATCATGTATATAGTAGATAATAAAACAATATCCGTTGTACAAAACACATGTTTCTTAGTTCGAATTGGCACCAGGCAGGATTGGCAGAGGGTTGTACGTGAAATTCTTACTCAGTATTCACGGTTTTCAACACCCGTCAGCAAATTCAATGAAGAATTGACCGTACGGATTGACAACTTATGGCTGTACACACTCTGATAACCGAGTGGGTGTGCTCCCATTCCTATATTTACCAGATTCCTGGTTTGATCCTCCGGGGAGGCGATGTTGTGCAAGATTGACCACACGGTTAGATCAACGTCGTACTTGCAGCGTCTCCACAATAGTCAAACGATTTACAATTGGTGTTAAAGTTCCTTGGAATTGCGAAAAAACGAATGGCACGTGCTAACGGTACTTATAGTATCTTTATAATGCCTGATTTCCTGAGAGTTTTACAAACGCGGCCGAATCAATATGTTTTTCGAAAGGTTGTTCAAGCAATTTTGCGCCAGTTAACGAAAGCGGGGTCAGAGAGACGGGATGGGAGGGATGGAGTAGTGAATGGATGAAAATCTGAAGAATTTTGTGTTCAGAGGTTTAGTTCGTGCAAACCGAGCTATTTGTGGTAAACGTGTTAGCGATGCGATTTAACAGACTGAACGTGAGTAATACGTCTTTGTCGAACTGCGAGGTTACCAGGTGAAAGAAGAAAAGTCGGATCATTACACAGACCCTTGGGTATGAGTGAAGTAAAACAAGGGAAAATGTGAATTAAATTGATTTAATCATTTGTGCGGGTTGTTGGTCTTCGACCGGGTAGTTCAGTGATAGATAGGACTGTCGGCTCCAAGACCGAAGGCTTGGGGGGGGGGGGGTCGAATTCCGGAGCTAGCACGAAATAATTCACACTAGCCTTCTCCTAAGAGAGGCGTCAAGGCTGTCCGGTGCTCTTGTGCGACCACTGCACAACGACCACCGCAAACGTATTGTCATTGGCACTTGGTCCGTCAGTCCATTCGAGCGGCTTGCGGTTCGATATTAGGGACAGGAAAGCACATTCTCTCCGAAAATTTGGTGTGGTAGTGAGGGCGTGACATGTTAGAAAGGCTGTTGGTACTAAGGAATCAAGAAACGTGACAACTCGAACATTTCTATATGAACGAGAACATCACTTTTACTAGGGCTCGCTACCAATTATTCAATTGGTACCATAAAAGTAGGCAGAAGTAAGTGAGCTTCAGCCAGTTTTTTTGGATCAACTGAACAAGTTTTCAAAATTTGAATGAGCGAAAGTTAGGGATTCCCGAGCTTGAGTCGAACAAAATGACCGGTTTCAAGGTTGTCCGGTAATTGTACCAGAAGTTCGACAAACCGAGAGAGCGTTCGGGTGGAAAGAATGCACAGCACGATGTCACCTCATAAGTAGAGTGGAGTAAAACATTGCAAGTTTCATTGATAGTCGGCTAACCGACGGCTTGGTTTTATGAGTTAATCGAGCGTACAACCTGGTGAGGCACAGATGAAATGTGTCTTTCTAAGCAGCTATTGTTCAAAACGGACGAAAAGCAGCAAAAATTTGTTTAGGAAAATCTGCACACGATACGCATAAACTATACAGGTGCTATCGTTTAATTAACAGGGAAATACCTAAATAGTAAATTTTAACCGAAAGCACCATTCGAACATGACCTCAGTCAAGATTATTCCCGTGTTGGAGGTAAGCAACAATGGTGCATACGGGTCGTCTAGCACAGTAAAACTCGAGTCCGATAGTTGATTGTACAGATGTGAGTGAAGATGAAGTGGGAACATGGTCACTCCAAATCACTGATACCTATTCCACAGCACCACTTGCAGATACCGAAGTTAAATGAGGTTGGTTGAATCTGTATTGGGTATTGTTTTGTAATAAATAGTATAGCCTTTTGGAATCCTAGAAAAATTTAAGCAACACAGGAAATCGGGTAATTTAAATGGATAAAAGATGGCTCTAATCGTTCTTTTATTTCGTGAGGATGATCGTCATTACTTCACTTGTGTTACCGGGTACGTGCAGACGTCTTGGTGGATGGTACATATTTTTTCAATTCCGAAACCCGACCGGAAGTATAGCAGTATGCATGCTCAGTGAAGAGTAACCGAACGAACGTGCTCTGTCCTTATGGTGTATGGTGGTGTATGCACGTGCAAATTGGACCGAGTGAACGCCACCACTTTAGACCTAATTTCAGATTAGATGAAGAGGGAGGGGGGATTTTTCAGTTCACAGATAATCACTGTTTAACCGATTATGTGAAAACCTACCAAGGTAGTTACCATTTTTGCACATGCGATCGGGGATCTATAGACAACAGATGAAAATATGCTCATTACCAATTCTTGTTCCGGATGACAGGATAGCACGTGAAGCGATGATGAGTGAACAGCTCGGAAGTCAGACAGCTCGACGACACTCATTTGGGTAAGTGTTTTATTATCGAGAGCCACTGTGGCTGAGATTTGGCTCCATATGAGCTGTTTGAAATTCTGAGCTAAATCTCATCCTCGCCCCCGGTCTGGACGCATTCCCACCGATTCTTCAAGGCCAATTAGTCCGGACCGATCTCTATCCTGTCGGTGGTCGGTGACGATTCGGGCGATAAGAAGTATATTGCGAAATCACGTGATCCGCTCTGTTCTGGTACAAGCAGACCATTGACACTTCACAAACACTGACGATGTCACCTCGGCTAGTAATGAAACGTTTGCAAACAAATTGCCGAGCTCGGGGTGAACAGGCGAAATGGAATAAATAAAGTTTACCCCCTGAGTCTAAGTAATTTTAAAAGATATTTTGCAAACCAGGACACCGAGGGAATCTTTTAATGTAATTCGCTTTTATTACATCCCATGATTCGTTCAGTTCTTTCTATGATCGAGATCCACCAGTGACCGTATCTCACGGACTGAAAAGAGTCTACCACCTATTGAGCTGAATGACGCCGGGCGCGCCCCCAGGTCACTGACGAGAAAACAATCATCTGAGATTGGGTAGGATGAGCCTAACGTTTTGGCCGCATTTGAAGAAAGAAGAAGCGACGGAAAGTCATATATATTTTAAGATAAAGTCATTAAGACAAAGAATTCGGGGAGGAAATTCCGCTTCCGGACCGTAGTCCTAGATTACAGTATTCTTGCCTTATGAATCAAAATTCTATCACTTCTCAAAGCATAGTCCTCTAATAATGTTCATTCATTCAGGTCGATGATAAACACCACTTTGATTAGAAGTGTGATTTCACTGTTTTTAACATTAGCAATCATTTAAGAAAGGTATCATTTACTACTACTACTACCACCACCACCACAAAAACAACACTGCTGGAGCCACCACCGCTCCCTCCTGAAAACTGAATGTGTATCATCCCGGGCCGAAAGTACACGCGATCGAAGTTCCCTCCGGGACACAAATGTACTACTCACAGATAATGAGTTCTATGATGTGTGAAACAACTGTCCACAACTGTCCCTTGTGAGAGCCTTCACTTTAAATTCCATCACATTTGTGATGGGTCAGAGGAATCAATGAATTCCTAAGGAGTGAAACTCGCATAAGGTCACAATACGCTGAATTCGAAGTCTGTAAATTCGTATGGACAACGCAAGACAATATTCGTGAGTAGTCTATACTTAAAACAGTTGAAGAAAGCCAGACAGTGGTATGTTGTACACAAACCACTCTTCCGAATCACTTAGATTATATCCGGCTGAGTCGACATACATTTATACAGCTGAAGATAGTTTACGGTCAAAAGACTACATCAGGATTTCAGGGATTACGTAATTTGGATTGCTTAATGCATTTAGATACTCATATAAGTTTACAAGTACATGAACCTGTTTCGCCATGTGTAACCAAAGGCCATCTGATGGACGAGTCGAGGGCGTATTTCCAGGCCAAAGTCATTTTCGCTACTCTTCGTTCTGTGGCCAAATGTTATGTTTAGTTTTCTGGTGCCCACGGCATCGGGTTTGATTTCATGCGGAATACGGTGGTGCAAACATATTTTGATCTGATTACTAGTTATGGAGAATACTTTAAATTTTGAGACCCTCGATAGACACATGAACGGTGGTGGTCGGCGGTGGTGGCCCAGTGGTAAGGTCGTCGAAATAACCACCTGGGGGTCCTGAGTTCGAACCCCACCATCATGGCCCATCTTCCCATGGTATGTATTTCCCAAAGCAGCCTTCGCATGGTTGCGGCTTTCTTCCTGAAATTTTACTGCCCATTTCGATAACCAAAAAAACAGAAAAGGAAGTAAAATATTTATATTATTTATATAACCACACGCAACATTCATCATACACTAAAGGCTAAGCACTGGTGAGGTGTCTTCGATCCAACAATGGTTCTTCAGCCCTATCCGAAGAGGTTCACTTCAGATCTTGATCCAAGATATCTCATGGGTTTTTCTCTCCAACAATCGATCGAGTGCAATCTTCTGACAGGAATCGTACAAATCTCTTTGTAGAACTGGTTGGTGACGATCGTGTCAAAGATCAAACAAATTATTGTTTCGAATGGTTCAAAATCACACACTAATAACCGAACAAAGAAGTGAGACTCACAGAGCAATTTTTCATAAAAAAAAACAGAGCGAGCGAGAGAGAGAAAGTATAAATGCCTTCCAGGTAACAGAGCTCATTGTCCACTGCAACCAGTAGGTACGGAGGGAAAAGTTGACGTATCTATGAAATCTGAAACACAAGTTTATGTACTATATCTAATCCAAAACTGTGGTACAAATATGTAACGTCTACAGTTTCGGGAATAAACTTCTCGGGACGTTTCAATCACAAAAAAAAAATAAAACAAATCCATCCAAGTGAATGCGACCAATATTTCCACGAGAAATGTCCGTGTTATTTGTTTGCCCCGTACGGTGTGCAGTGT